GCACAGTGTGGCCCCACCTGCTCTCCCCGCCGCATCGCCCTCCCTCCACAGTGATCTTTCTTGCAGCTCCCAGACTGGCTGTGTCCTCTCTGTGCTGGGAACACCTTCCCCAGGTCCTGGGAACCCTGACAACCCTGGTAACCTTGAGGTCTAAGCTCACTTGTTGCCTCTACAGGAAAGCTGCTGCTGGCCTCCCTGGCCAGGGCTGCCTCCCCCACACCCCATTGTAACATGTCAGATATCTCTTCCACAGCATCTGGTTCCCTTTTACAGACCTGATTAGTGGGTTCATCCACACCTCCCACGCAGGACTGTGAGCACCCTGAGATTTGGAATCTGTCTTAGTCAGGGTTCTCTAGAGAAGCAGAACCAGTGAGATAGAGGGAGAAAGAGAAATAGTAGGTAGGAAGGTAGCTAGAAAGATCAACAGATCAATAGTTGATAGACACACACACATACATATTGATAGATACATACGCATGAACCTACCCAGCAGCTCCCCGTGAGAAAGACCTGGCGATCTGCTGCAGCCAAGAAAACTCTATGGGGCAGTTGTGCTCTGTCACATGGAGTCACTATGAGTTGAAATCAACTTGATGGCATCCAAAAACATATATATACATATGTATATATAGAGAAAGAGACTTAAGGAGCTGACTCAGAATTGTAGGGGAGCTGGCAAGCCTGCCATCTGTAGGTGACAGGCTGGAGATTCCTTCTGTCCTAAAATCCGTAGGTCAGATGACAGGAAGAGTGAAGAAGAGTGAAGGCAAGATGACTATAATCTGCAGGCAGAATACACCGTAGGGAAGACTTCTTTTTGCTCTTAGGCGTCCAGCTGATTGAATGAGGCCTCTTTACTTAAGGCCAACTGATTTTATCAATGTAGCTACTTCATAACAGCATCTAGACAAGCATTTCACCAAACAACTGGGCGCCATAGCCCAGCCAGGTTGACGTATAAAATTAACCATCACAGAGCCAGAGCTGGCTTTGCTGGCCATTATGTTTCCAGTGCTTCCCATTGGCCAAACCTTCCCAGAAGTCCGGGAAATGCTCCATACTTATGGACGCCAATAAACATTTGCTATAGGAATGAGGGAGTAACGGTAGTGCATACCTTTCTTTGTTACAAAAAGAGTGATATTTCTGGACACACTTTAGGGCTCCCGTTTTGAACTTCTTGGCGTCCCCAAAAGGGAGTCTCCAAATTTCAGGCAAAACTGTTCCATGGGCTCCCCGGACTCTCAGATTTGAGGGTAATGTCTCTAGCCGGAGTCATGGTAATAGGAGGGCTCATTGTCTGACCTTCACCCTGTGCCCTCGAGCAAACCATTGTGCTTCCCATCTGAGCGACACCTCAGACACACAGGGTGTCTCTGTCACCTTGTTTATAAGCTTCAGAGCTAATGAGCTGGGAGTCGAGAAATCTTACACTCTGGGTTTCGCTGGGAATCCTCCAAGGCTCCTAACTCCATGAAAGTTCTTCAGTTCTAAATAGTTGTTTCTGGTTTTGTTTTTAAATGAACGAGTTGGGATTAACCCTATCACCCCAGCAGTCACCTAGCCCTTCAAAATCAAAGCTGACCTTTTCTTCCTTCCTTTTGCAGTGGATTCCACACAAGAAACCTACAGTTTTTGTCAACCTATGAGGAAAAATTGATTAATTTATGCTCCCCTTTAAGTTAGAAATTCAAATAAAACATAAATAAAAGTAGCTCACATTTACTGAGCATTTACTAGGTGCCCAGCACTCTGCAAAGCTCATTACTGGACTATCTTATTCCAGCCTCACAGCTCCTCTGTAAGGTGTGGATACTGTTATCATCCTATTTCATAGACAAACGAAGGCTCAGAGATGTTAAGTAACGTGTGCAAGGTCACATAGCTGCTAAGTAGTGGAGCTAGAATTTAAACCCAGTGCTGCCCAGTCTCGAGGGAGCACATATTCTTAGCCACCACGCTGTACTGCTTTATCCTTTGAAGTGTTTTGTATCACTTGCAGGTTATGACATGTTTGGCTTTAAAGGACATGTCTCTCCCCTCCATTCTCCCCACTCCTGTCACCTACTAACCAATTCAATGTTTAAGCCTATTTAAATTGTTTTGTGCTTAAGCTATAAATAAAAAACATGCCATACAAAGCTGCATTAAATCTAGCCCAATAGTTATGTAAAACTATATTGTTTATCAATATGTTTTACTTTATTTTTTTAAAATAAATGCATCTTCTATTTTCACCTTAATATTTCCTTTTTAATATTTAATAATCGTAGCCATAGCCTGTTTAGAAAAGGCATACTTAGAAAAGCAACACCAGTCGTGGGAGCCCTAGGCTTGTGTGCCTTTAGATCCGTTCCTTTCCCTGATCTGCTCCATTTTGCAGGGGGCTGACCTGTGCAGCCTGCATTTCCTGGACTTTAGGGAAGGTTTGGCCAGTGACTGAGAGGCCCTGGTGGGAAATCAGGGGTTGAGGCTGAAGGAGGAGCTGGGGTATTTCTCCGCCTTTTTCTCTGTCTCTTGCAGCAGCTGTATCCCCCGTAGGGCTCTGCTGATGCCTCCTTTTGTCCCTCCAGCCTCAGGGTGGTGGTGGCTTCCTGTTCTTCCTGAGCTGGGTTACTGCTCCCAAGGACCTTCTACTGTCTGTGTCCCCAGTTCCCTTGATTAAATTCTTTTTTGTTTTTTTAAATTGTGCTTTCGGTGAAGGTTTACAGAGCGAATTAGTTTCTCGTTAAACAGTTAATGCACATATTGTTTTGTGACATTGGTTGCCAGCTCCACGATGTGTCAGCCCTCTTCCCTTCTGGACCTTGGGTTCCCTATTTCCATTCATTCGGCTTTCCTGTCCCCTCCTGCCTTCTCATCCTTGCCCCTGGGCTGGTGTGTACCCATTTAGTCTCGTTTACATGGTTCAACTGCGTGTGTTATTGTTTTTTTTATGGGCCTGTCTAATCTTTGGCTGAAGGGTGAACCTCAGGAGTGACTTCATTACTAAGTTAAAAGGATGTCCGGGGGCCATACTCTGCCAGTATGGTTTCTCCAGTCTCTGCCAGACCAGTAAGTCTGATCTTTTTTGTGTGTGAGTTTGAATTTTGTTCTACATTTTTCTCCAGCTCTGCCCGGGACCCGCTATCATGATCCCTGTCAGAGTAGTCCGTGGTGGTAGCTGGGCACCATCTAGCTGTGCTGGACTCAGTCTGGTGGAGGCTGCGGTAGTTGTGGTCCATTGGTCCTTTGGACTAATCTTTCCCTTGTGTCTTTGTTTTTTTTCATTCTCCCTTGCTGCAGACAGGGTGGGAATTGAACTCCTTCTGTTGTAAATAAATAAAACCGGTTGCTGTTGAGTTGGCTCAACTCATGGCAACCCCATGTGTGTCAGAGTAAAACTCTCATCTGTACGGTTTTCAGTGACTGATTTTTTTGGAAATAGATTGCCAGGCCTTTCTTCTGAGGCACTTCCGGGTAGACCCAAATCTCCAATCTTTTGGTTAGCAGCTGAGCACATTAACCGTTTGCACCACCAGGGACACCTGGTAAGTAAATAGGGCTGTCCATTATTCGAGGTTGGACTCAGATGGATACTCAGGTATTCTCAAATTCCCAGTACTTATTTACAGTTTACTTCAGAGGCATGGAAGATGCATGCTGTGATTGTGTTAACATCCTCACATCCTCTGATTAAAAACATCTGGGTCCTTTGTGTTCCCTGTGGCAGTGGTACTAGCAGATATCCCCGACTGGGTGGCTGGAGTCCCTGGTTCTAATCTAGCTGAGTGTCACTAGGAGAGCTTAGGCTCACCGAAGTCAGGACCTTGGTTTCATGTAAACTAAGGTGCTCCCTGGGGTCCTTTCTGGTAGCCCTGTTTTCTGACATTAGCTCCTTCAGAACTGAGACAATTCTCGAACTCACTTTCCATGGGGACAGTGAGTTGTTTCCTTCAGTTTCATGGTCCCTGACTCCAGCCAGCTGCCCTTCTGATGTGGGCTGTGGGTCCCTGAGGGCTCAGGTGACAGAATGTGGGTGAGCTGGGGCAAATCCATCACCATGCTGGGAAGACCCGCGGGCAGGCCCTTTGTGGTTCAGACCCCTCGGTCAGTCTTCAGTTGAGCTCAACATATATCCACAGGAAGTATAGAGAAAAAGGGAAATGTACTGCTCTGCAGCCCTGGTCTGTGGATTTCACAGTGTTTCAAAGATGGTGTTTCATATATTCACCCTAAATATAACACCAATAGGCAAAATGTACAGATGGCACTTGTCTGATATAATATATTTTCTTTCTCCGTTTTAAGCGTTCTCATCTTAGACTCTCTAAACACCATTTTCTTAAAATACCTTATCCAGCATTTGTGTATGTATATATATTTGGGGCCAGATGCTCTGGGTATCTTAAATAACTTTAATTTACTAAACCTCGCTCCTCCTCCCCCACCCCCAGCCCTTTCTTTTCAGAAGATACCTTTAGACAATCACCATTCACCTCCAATTCAAAAGATCTGCTGCCTGTCCAGTCTGTGCTTCACGGAAGAATATCAGCTCCAGGTATGGAAACATTGTTGACTTTGCTTCTGCTATCAGTGGCTTAAAAATTGCTTTTCTGAAATGTGTGAATTTTCAGATACTTGCAGCCTGTGTTTTGTAGTTCTTCATGCAAAGCTAGCTTTAAAAAAAAAAAAAAGAAAAGAGGGAGAAAACTCATTTTAACCAGCCACAAAAGTTTATGGAAATAAAATGTAGACAGTAATAAACCTCTTCATCTTTGCTTTAGGAGCTTATTGTTCTTTACTTCCTGGTAGTTCCTCTGTACAGTGAATTTCTTTTTCTTTAAAGTAACCAAGTGGAACCTGGAAATAATTTGCTGTACGCACTGTCAGTATTTCAGGCAGGCAGCTGGGAAGGTATGGGAGGGAAGTGGTGAGAGCAGGAGTCCCCAGCAGGGAAGGCGGTGACCCTGGCTGGGTGTGGGCCACCACAGAGACCACATTGGTTTCCATGGAAGCAACACAGCTCATCAGGACAATCTTGCCACCCAGATTTCATCTCTCTTCTTAGCCTTAGTATCTGCTTGTAACCATCTGACATTCCTTTTTGCCATCTCAACCACTAATTCATGATTTCTTCTCCATTCTTCTTTTCCTTTCTCCTTTCTAGGGTTAAAGCAAAGATGTGCTTGCTCTCCCCTTATCAACATCATGGGCATCCCTCAGAGTTATAGAGAAATGAGAACATTTGAGAACCACTACTGCACTGTAGCCCACACTCCCTTCCCCTCCTCACCTCCATCTAGCAGCTGGGGAACCTCCTGCTAGTTGTTCCTTTGTTCCCATCTGTTGACTGAATTTCAGAAGCACTCAGTGGCCTCCATACCCATGCAGTTGTCCTGGAGAGCAGAGTGAGAGACCCAGGCTGCATGGTGCAGGAGGGGCCCATACCAGGTTGTTGCTCCATAGCCCCTTCAAGAATAAAGTCCAGGAGTCCTCCATGGACCCAGGGAGCCTTGGATCCCAGATGTCTGGCGATCTGATTATTTTGCAGTTAAGAAAGAGTCAAGTATCACTTTCTGAAATATTGTCTTGGGGTACCACAGGTTGTTAGAGGTGGTGTGTGACAAGCAGAGGGGAAAATACAGCTCTTGTTATTCTTTAGTCCTGTGATGGCAAACCCTCTCTTCTCATCTCCACACATCCAGGCCAAGAGTCCGGGTACCTGCATGCTTTTCAGCTTTGCAGGGCTCCTCTGTTCAAACATCAGAAATAACATGCTTACACAAAAACACATTGCATAATAGCTGGCTCTAGAAGTGTAAAGAAATTCTGCCTAGTTTATGTCTTCACTCAAACTGGAGCTATTTGAACTACCTTTTACTTCCCACAGTGTCATTTTGAATAGCCATCTCCCTAGTCCCAAAATTATTGCCCTGCTGTTAAGTTGATGGATTGTGACTTTCTAATGTCAAAATAACTGTCTAGGAATTGCTTGTCGGAGTGTTGTGACCCATACGGCCCGCATCCCGTGATGTATGTGCAAACCCTGTGTTTCTGGCTTCGCGTCTGGTTCGGCTGTATTTAAAGAAAGGGCTTATTGGTCAAGTTAGAACTTGACTACAAAGAGTGATACCAGTATGTGTTTTACTGTGCATAGGGAAGTTTTCTGATTTGCTTGATAGGCTCATACTACAAATTAGATAAACTCATGAGAGTTTAAATGCTAACCCCTTATATTTTTGAGGGGTCAGCATAACTGGGATTTTTAAAATGTAAATCCAACACTCTAAAGGATAACCAATCTACTGAACATCCATAAAGCCTATCTTTAGGCAGAGGATAAGCGAAATGACTGTTTACATTTTACCAAAGTAAAGAGCTAAACAGAGACTTGTAAGAAAAATAAGCAAGCTGAAAATGCTTTGGAAATGGAGTTAAAAATTAGAAAAATGGAAAATGATAGGGACAATCTTATGATCATGAAGTTCCCTGTAATCTGAAGAGACATTCCGTAAGGAAAGCCTCAATAATTTGGACTAATTGTAGAGAAGACCAGTCTGAATTAACAAAAGTTTCCAGTTTCAAGGCTTTGAAGGAAAACTTATTTCTTTCACGTGTAGGACAGTGATAAATGTCTATTTTATACCTACTACAGTCCCTTATCCACAACTCTGAAATCCACAAAACTGTACAAACTAGATTCTTAAAGATAAATTATTTGGTGGCAAAACCTAATGGGGAAGCTCTTCATAGGCTTTATTTATTACACCAAGGGTGAAATACATACATGTTGTGGCTGAAATGTCAATGTGCTTGATTATGAAGTGCTGCCCCCGGCTCCTAGGAGTGTTAGGTAAAATATGTCTTATGCACTGTATTATCTTCCTAAAATTAGAAAAATTATGAATCCCAAAACATATCTTGTCCCACAGGTCTCAGATAGATATTGTGGACCTACGCTGACTCTTCAAGGAGCCCTGGTGGCACAGTGGTTAAGCACTCAGCCACTAACTGGAAGGTCAGCAGTTCAAACCTACCAGCCGCACCACAGGAGAGAGATGTGGCAGTCTGCTTCCGTAAAGAGTTCAGCCTTGGAAACCCTATGGGGCAGTTCTGCTCTGTCCTATAGGGTTGCTATGAGTTGGAATCGACGTGACGGCAGCGGGTTTGGTTTGGTTTATTGACTCTGCTAAAAGCTGTGGTGGGAACAAGGAAGTTGAAGCTAGAGTTGAGGATCTCAACATTCTAGGGTAAAAGAGTCATGGATTCTTAGAGAAAATTTTGAAAGATAAATTGGAAGCAGATTGCTGAATTCTTGGAGTGGACTGGGACAAGGAACTGGAGCCCAGCAGGGATGCTCTAGTTCTGGGGTGGCATTGTTAAGGAGAGCCTGGGTTAGCGAGGAAAGGAGGGTGTGGCTAGGAGAAGCAAAGAGTGAGTTGAATGGCTTAGGGGTGAGGCAACTGGTTAGCTTTGCTATAAAACTAACCTAACCATTTGCTGTTGAGTCAGTTCTAACTCATGGCAACCCCACGTGAGTCAGAATGGAATGATGCTCCATAGGGTCTTCAATGGCTGGTTTGTCAGTTCAGAAGTAGGTCAGTAGGCTTTTCTTCCAAAATGCCTCTGGGTAGGCTTGAACCTCCAGCCTTTTGGTTAGCAGCCGAGTGTGTTAACCCTTTGTATCCCACCAGGCACGCTAGCTTTGCTATTGTAAAAAAACCAAACCCGTTGCTGTCAAGTTGATTCCGACTCAGAGTGACCCTATGGGATAGGGTAGAGCTGCCCCATAGGGTTTCCAAGGAGCACCTGGTGGATTTGAACTGCCAACCCTTTGGTTAGCAGCCATAGCTCTTAACCACTACACCACTGGGGTTTCCAGCTTAACTATAAGCTGTTTGTATTAGGGAATAACAGTGCCTCTGCAGGAATGGGGAAGCTGGAAAGGTGACAGCTGGCTTTAGTGACTAGGTCAAAAATAATTTGCAGTCAGTATGACAGTTGTTAGTATATAAATGAAAGCCTCAGAGTCCTTAGAAATCTTCTTTTAGATAGTTTAAACATTACCTCCAAAATAAATATCATTCATGCTCTTTTATGTATTTAGCAAACCTTGTCTTTCCACAGATAATGCAAGGATAAATGTCGGCCCAGATAATTATCTCAGATTCCCAATTAGTAAAGACCAGATTTAGTGAATTTAATGTATCTAGTTCCAGTCTAAGAAATCCCTTGCAAATGTTGAAAACCCCATTGCAATATTTCAGGTAGGTGTATGTGAGTGTGTGGTATGTGTGTGTGTGTGTGTGTGTGTATGTGTGTGTGTGGGTGTGTCTACCTACTTACTTATCTTCTATCGATGGGATAAAATTTCTTCCAAATGCCTCTGGAGTGAGACCATGGGGCAGAGGAGGTGTGCCAGGTGAGAGTACCAGGTAAGGCCTAACAGCTCCTGGGCCAGGAGGGTCCATGGTAGACTCGCCGTGGTAGATTGTGTTTCAGGCCTGTTGGAGAATGAAGCAAGCAGGAAGGGGGATAGCGAAGTGGGGAGAGATTAGTAGAAACGTGGACTGTGAAGAAATCTAGAACAGCACAGTTAACGAGGCATTTGCCTTTCAGCAGATGGTATCTGAGACACATAGCTGCCACCCTCCCAGAGAAACAGAATCAACACAGAGCTTCATGGCACCCTGGACTCCCTTGTTGCCAGTGTTTCTAGATGACTTTTCTGAGAACCAAAGAATGCTTACAAGCAAAGACCTAACGTTTTTACCTGCTGCGATTGTCTTAGGGATAATATCCGGGATCCTTAATAAAATGATGAGTTAAAAGCTACTGTCACCTTCTGTTGGAGGGATGTGGGGGCAGCGTATCCTTAAAACCATGAATAGATTAGTGAGCGCACCCTCGGTAGTGGTGCTGCTGGTGGTGATTTCACAAAAGAAATAACAAGCACCTTCCTGTTATAGAGGAGATAGAAATTACAGACCTGGTATAACTTAACATGCTTCGTTTAATTTATAGTTGTCGCTTTGTAAAAGATTTACCATAATAGAAGAAAGACTCTAAGGTCAGGTGTGTTTTAGGGCAGGTAGGGTGATTCTGTATTAAGAGTAGAACCAGTACCGTTGTACCTGCAGTGCATGTTTTCCCGGGGTCTTTCTGTAAGCAAAGGCTAGTAAGAGAAGAATTTATGTCTCAGCACCGCTTATAAACAATGTGGACCTTCAATTCTGTTTTATTATGATTTTGAAGTCACAATATGTTTGTTCTGTATTAAGCCAAAAAACAAAAACACAGCCAGAGCATGTGTGAAGGAAAATGTGGGTCTCCATGGAATTCTTCCATATTGTTTGGAGTCACCAGCGTTTCTGTTTTATTTCAGATTGAGCTTGGAGTTAGAAGACATAAAACCCATTAGCAATTTTATTTGTTAATTCCTACGCTCATTATTTGCTAACTTGCTTTAAAAAAAAAACTTTTTTTCTTCTTTTTTGTTTTTGTTTATAATAAACAAGGGGAAAACATATCAGCACTCCTCACAAAGACAAGCTACTT